AAGAAACAGTTTATTGAACTTCCTCAACCAACTGAAGCTTCATCTTCAAAAGATATTTCAGAAAATGTCACGTCCTCCGATATGGAACTTGACATGACTGTTCGTCTACTTAGCGACAAAGGAAAGGCACCTGAAACTTTCTCATCCTCTCCAAAAGCCCCAATAGATATCGACCAAGCTTTTGACACCACTGAAAATGACCTTGATAATAACAAAAATAAAGTAAAAGGTATTCACCTTGAACGAGAAACAGAAGCTCCAATTTACTTTACCTACTGCGCCGCTGAACGTTTCTTTTCAACTAAAACCAATTGAGAAAAACAGAACGAGGCGTGTGACATATTTGTACCATATTATGCCTCTTTCATTAGTGCATTAGTACGCACTCACCCTGATGACCCCAACAAAAAAATTGTCCAAATTGGATTTACCTTGTGCAATGAAGCCAATCACGCAGTCACCAAAATTCTTTTTTGGATAATGACACGTTTTCACTCTTAATCACCAAACCAGCTGCAAAATACATTCTGGATTTATCGATCAGAGTAACAGAGATCCCGATCTCTACTACAGAATCAAACTTGAGATCTACATTCTCCTTTTTCGGAAAGATCACCAAATGTACTATGTCTACCAAAAATTTATGGCAACAAGCAACAATCACTTTTGAAGAAAACACAGACATGACCATCCTAAATAAACTTAACAGTTACTTCGTCCTAAAAGACCTTGTCCGAGTTCATTCTTGCACAATGTCAAATGAAGATGTCAGGAAAAAATCCCAATTTTCCCTTAAACTCACGAACTTATCTCTTGACACCAATGGCCGTCATCTTATTTTGATTGGCAATGCAATTGATGCTATCGCTTGGGTCATCCCTAAATCACGTGCTAACTATCGCAACCTTCAGTATGTTATCTTCTACTTCAAAGACAAAGAAACGATAGATGTCGCCAAAAACGGAGAGATTTTCTATCTTGATAGAAAAGATTAATCTGGGCAGACTTGAACTCAAAGTTATGTTTCATTTGCCAAACTCCTGGTCACCAGTCACAAAATTTTCAGAAAAAAAGATCATCCCCTGGAGACCGCCAAACACAACAGCCCTACCAAAGATTCCAACTGGCATAATTCCACAATTATCGGGCCCCTATTAACAAACCCAAACTATTTAATCTTAATAAATTGACACCAAACACAACGGATCAAACCAACAAAGTTCCATTAAAACAAAATAATGACCTAAAGAACCCATATACAACTCCTAAACCTGTAAATATTACTTCCAAACAGCCAATTAACAAACTAAATCACCCTCCTACTTTTCAGTCTAACAAACCCAAGCAACCATTTAACAACAAGAGTGAAGAAACCTTGAATGCAAGTATCCATGTTCACAGTTCTTGGGCAGATGACTATGATTATAATTATAATTACCATCGTTCTAATGACAACAATGATCAAAACGAACAGTCTGATATGCTAACCAAAATTTCCAACCAACTTGAAACCATTGCAAGCCAGTTAGCCAAAATGGATCATGATATATAC